AGATGTGTGTGCATCAGTGCCCAAAATCCCAGAAGGAGAACAGAGGAGACGGGTTGCAGTGTGGACCATCCCTCCTAGGTGGTGATTTCTCACTTTCCCTCTCACTGTCTCTCTCTGAAGAGCACAAGCATGCCATGGCAAAACAAAATAAAGCAAAAAATACTTAAAAGCAAAAAAACTCCACCCACGTGTGTGTGCAGGCCCATCATCCCAAAAGGAGAATGGAGGAGGAACTGCAGCATGATGATCCCTCATGCGGAATGCTCTCTCGCCCTTTCTCTTTGGCGAGCTCACGTGCCCTCTAGCAAATTTTTTTTTTTTGCCTTAGAGCATGTGCACTCCCAGGAGAGAGAGAGAGAGAGACAATGAGAGGAAAAGTGAGAAATCATTCCCCAGGAAGATGGCCACACCACAATCCCTTCTTCTCCAATCTCCTCCCGAGATCTTGATGCACACATGCCCAGCATCATTTTCAAGGCACCAGGTCTGGGACTCATACCGCCGTCAGTCATATGGAAGTCCAGCAATGTAACTGCTACGCTATCTGCTGCCCCCACCCCCACCTAGCAAATTTTTAAAAAACGGTAAAAGAGGGACCAGCAGTTAGTGTAATGTCTATGTCGCTGAACTCCCATGTAGTAGACCGCTGTTCAAGTCCCGGATCCGGTGGCTGAAACTCATGCTGGGCGCGTGTGCATGCATGCCCAGGATCCTGAGAGGAGAATGGAGGAGAAGGGATTGCGGGATGGCCATCCCCCCTGGGACGTGATTTCTCCCTTTCTATCTCTATCTCTCTGTCTCTCTCTGTCTTTCTGGCGAGTGCACACGCCCTATAGAAAAAAACCTCTCAAAAAAAAAAAAAAAAAAGGAAAAAGAGGGGCCAGCAGCTGCTGTAATGGTTAAGGTGCTGTACTCTTAGAGACAAAGATTGGAGTGATGCAGCTGCAAGCCAAGGACCTAGGCTTGACTAGGCTATGATTTCTTTTTAAAAATGGATTGATTTTACGAGATAGAGAGGCTTCTTCAACAGAGTCTGGTCACACCACAGTCCCCTAGCCCTCCAGCTTGTCAAGATCTTGGACACACGTGTGCACACACTGTATTTCAGGTCCATCCGGCCAGGGATCTGAGCCTATGGTCAGTGATGAAGTTTTGGCACATAAGTTCAGTATGCTACCAACTGTGCCACAGGGGCTGGGCCCAGCTCTGCCGCTGTAGGCACGCGGCTGTAGGCACGTGACTGTAGGCACGTGGTAGTCTCGCCGTGCATCTGTCTTCATGTGTCATTTTCCTCTTCTTGTAAGGACACTGGTAATATTGAACTGGGGCCACCCTAAGGGTCTTATCTTATCTTGATTCCATCTGCAATGACTCTGTTTCCAGATTCGTGACATTCTGAGGTTCTGTGGGTTGGGCCTCCAATGTAGCATTCTAGGGCACGCAGTTCAAACCTTAATAATTATCTTCTAATTATCTCTGATAGTATCCAGGAGTGCTCCTGGGTGGCCATGAACTAGCTTGCATTGTTTCCACACGTATTTCTCCTCTCCTGTTACAGGTTGTTATGGTGACATCGCCCATGCTGCCACCAAGGTCAACGTATTGTTGCAAATGTTTCCAAACTTGCAAAGGCACACCAGAGGGACCATGCTCACCAAAGGTGCCAGAGTGACCCTGAGGCCACTGCAGCCTGATGTCCAGCCCTGAGCCCTCTCTTATACAGCTACAAGTTAGACTGCTGGGTCTACTCTGAGTTCTCACATATCCCACACTGGGGCTTGACCGCCTACTTGTATGTCCCCCACAGGAGTTATAGACTGTGAAGTTGAGCTCTACAGCATGCTTTGTTTTCATCCACGGGGCTAGAGGACAATCAGAATGACAGATACTGTTTGGGACTTAATCATTTCTCACACTGACACTGACCTTCAACTAGAGTCCTTTAACCAAACTTCTCTTGTCTGATGGCTGCTATGTTGCCCCATGGTACAGATAAAACTTCTGCTATACTCAGGTATACCCAAATATTTCAACAGGAATCTGAGGGTTAATATAGCTTAACTTCTCAAGCTAAGACTATGACTTCTTATCGATACATATTTAAATTAGTTTTATACAAAGGCTTAACCATAGCCTCAGATTTGTCATCGAAAACCGTTGGGCTGAGTCATCTACGGGTCTGCTACAGATGAGAAATATCATCTTCTGGCCCATTAGAAAGGACTTTCTCCCTGTTTTTCACATTTCATTTCTACTCTCCTTTTCTTTCCAAGCCTCCTGAATCCACTGAGGTGTTTGATTTCAGTCTACAGCCCCTTTTTAGCCAATCACAGCCTCCCACTGTGGATAATACAACCATGCCCAGGAATATTCAGCCATGGTACATCTTGGTTTCTTTTCTTACAAGAGCCCCTATCATTAAAGTAATTATAAATGTTTGTATCTAATCTTCACTATGACAGTTTTTGCTTTCACCACAATAAGAAAAGGGTTGACTGTAATTATACCTGGGTGTCTTTGATCCTAACCTGCCTCTAAGTTGTATGTCTTTCTTCCTACCCAAAACATCAATCTAAAGTTAATCAATTAATCAACCAACAAATATGTGTCCTGCATTAGCAGAAAACAAAAAGAAATTACTTTTTTGGAAATTACTACTGTAAACTCTTGAAATCCAAATTATTTAAATTATCCTTTCAAGAAAAAAAAAAAGCATCCACTATATGCCAAATACTGTTCCAGACACTAAGAGAGAAGAAGCAAAACAGACAAAATCTCTACTTTCTTAGCATTCACCATGAAGAGGGAACCTAGGCCTTAACAATCTTACAAATAACTCTATGTTTGCAAACTTTAATAAGAATTATAAGAAATGTGTGGGGTGGTATATATTAGTAAGGAGAACTTAAGTTAAATTGGACATGGGTGTCTGCAATATTTTAGTCAAAATTTGAAGGATGAATGGGAAGAACAGTAGTATAAACGATGAACTTCACATCCAAAGTCCCTGTGGTGGAAAAGAGCGTGGTGCCTCAAAAAAACTGAAAAAAGACTAGTAAATCTGAAGTACAGTGACTTAGAAGGAAGGTGAGACAAGATGAACGGAAGGGAGGGTGTTATGGTTTGGATAATGGTTTGTCTTTCATGCAATTTTTTTTTGGAATTTGGTGTTGGGAGGTAGTGAAGCCCACTGGTGATGATTCCATCATGGCGAGTGTGTCATGGAGGCATCTCTCTCATGAACAGATTAACAATCTCTTGAGACCTGGTGAGTTCTAGCTCTCATGATGAGGTTAGTTTCCTTTAGAGCTCACTTGTTACAAAAGAGAACTTCTCACAGCTAGCTTTCTCTTGCACCCACCTGCTAACCTCTACGCTTCCATAGGCCATGTAGTAGGCTGATCTGGTGCCAGGCCTATGCCTTTGAATTTTCTAGCCAGCAGAATAGTGAGTCAGTAAACCCCTATTTCTTTACAAACCACCCAGTCTTAGGTAACTAGCAATGTAATAATGGACTGAGACAGAAGGCAAGGACCAGATCCAGGCCATGGTAATGATTCTCGATTCTATCACATGTGTCAAAGGAAGCATCAGAGGGTTTTAAGAAGAAAGGCATAATCAGATTTATGGTTTTTTGTTTGTTTGATTTTGGCTGTAGGGCATGTATGCTTGTCAGAGAGAGATACAAGAGAAACCGTGAGAGGGAAAGAGAGCCAGAGACAGTGAGAGGGAAAGTGAGAAATCATCTCTCAGGGGGAATGACCATGCCGTAATCCCTCCTCCTCCATTCTCCTCCTGGGGTTTTGGGCATGCACGGATACATGCCTGATGTGAGCCTCAAGCTGCCAGATCCAGGACTCAAACTGTGGTTGGTCATATGGGAGTCCAGCACCTTAACTACCACACCACCTGCTGGCCCTAATCAGGTTATGTTTTACATTTTTAATAACTATTTATTTAATTTTATTTATTAATTGATTTATTTTAATTTAACCAGAGAGAGACAGAGAGAGAAAGAGAGAGAAAAAGTGAGAGAGCAAGCCACCAGGTCCAGGACTCGAACCATGGTTGGCCATGTGGAAGTGTCCAGCACCTTATCTACCACGCCACCTACTGTTCCCCCAGGTTTGTGTTTTAAAAGATGATCTTGGGCCTGGCTTCTATGGCATAGCTGGTAGCATACTGGATTGTGGAGATACAAACCACATGCCAGCCACAGTTTGAGTCCCTGGCTTGGTTGGCCTGAAAACACTCCAGGCATGGGCTTTTGTGCCTAGAACCCTGTACACTAGAGCAAGGGTCCTCAACCCCCTGCTGAGGTACTCTGAGGGGGGTACTGATTTGTTCCTGCTAGGAACAAGACTACACAACAGGAGGTGAGCAGTGGGCAAACCAGCAAAGCTTTCTTTGTACTTACAGCCACTCCCCATCACTCACACTACTGCCTAGGCTCCGCCTGCTGTCAAATCAGCAGTCGCATTAGATTCAAATAGGAGGGGAACCCCAGCCCCATTGTGAACTGTGTCTGCAGAAGATCTAAGTTATATGCTCCTATGAGAGTCTAATGTTTGATGACCTGAGGTGGAACTGAGGTAGTGATGCTAGTACTGGGTAGCAGCTGCAAATACTGCATGACAGTGAGTTGTCTAATGATTTCATTATATATCACAATGTAATCATAATAGAAATACAGTGCACAATAGATGTCACTCACTTGAATCATCCCATAAACCATCCGCCCACCACAGTCTGTGGAAAAATTGTCTTCCGTGAAACTGGTCCCTGGTGCCTAGAAGGTTGGGGACCAGTGCATGAGGACTAGAGAAAGGGGATCATGCTGTCACTGAGCCCTGTGCCAGGTTCTTTTCTCTGTCCTTTCTCTCATGTACACATCTGCTCAGTCATAAACTTCAAAATAAATAAATAAATAAATAAAAGACTTGCCGGGAGTCAGAGCATGGGCTAGGTCTTCAGGAAAGCTAGAAATGTGGGCGGGGATCATGTCGCAGTCAGAGCTCGGCCAGGAGTGGGCCCGCTGCATGGCGGATGTGGTTGTAAAATCAGTACAGGTTTTGGATTAGGAATGTTTTCTCACTTACCTTCTTTAAAAGAAGAATGTGGCCATTGGCCTTGGGTTCTGGCAGGGAGTTGGGGGTGGCCTACTCCAACTGTCAGCCTGATTTTCAGGCTCCATATCTTCTACATGGAAAATATGCCAAAGTATGTACGAAAGAGCAGGAACAGTGACTCACACCCGAGAACATCCCTGTGGGGGGAAGAGAGATCACATTTATTCCTCAGGAATACTAAAGTGTCCTAGAGTAAGCCACACTCTTCTGGTACAATGCTATCAGTAACGGTTTACATTCCGGCACGCCACTTATGATTTTGAGACCAAGTATGCTTTTATGTTTTGTATATTTGTTTTGTAAGGAGCTGATCTTAAAGGAAATAAATTAAACAAAAATGGGGGGGAAGTGTTTCTGATTGTTGTGTGGACGATGGAGTAGGGCCAGAAGTGGGGAGACAATTTAGGAAACCATGTTCATAGTTGAGGTGAGAGAAAAATGTTGCCGGGCTACAGAGGCAGGAAGACATGAACAGATTTAAGAGGTGGTTTGGAGGTAGAGTCAACAAGTTTCTTTGCAGAGGAGTATGAACAAGAAATCATCCTTGACTGTAGAGCGCTGAATTGTTTAGGTTCCAGTTCAAATTATCTGGACAAAACCACTTGCTCAGCAGTGGAGCTGCCCCTGAGACTCCGTTCCAGTGCTCTCAGGGATATGCTACTGAGCAAGACCCAACCCTCAACTCCTGTGCATGTGGAAAATGAGCTTTTATTTTAGTGCGTACTCTCCTGGGGCTATGTGGCCCATTTCCGGATTTCAGGAAGTGAGCAAACGAAATTTTGTTTGTTTGTTTTTTGGAGAGGTTTTTGCTATAGGGCGCATGCGCTCACCGGACAGAGAGAGAGAGACAGAGAGACAGAAAGCGAGAAATCACACCACCACCACCCCACAGGGGAGATGGCCACGCCGCAATCCCTTCTCCTCCATTCTCCTCTTGGGATCTTGGGCACGCACGCACACGCGCCCGGCGTGAGTTTTAAGCCACCGGGTCCGGGACTTTAACCATGGTCGACTACATGGGAGTCCAGCGACATAGCCATTACGCTAACTGCTGGTCCCTGTTTGTTTGTTTTTAAACTGTCATCAGAATGCAGCTTTCAAAGATACAGGCAGCAGAAGCAGGAAATGATTAATGTTTTTCTTAATTAAGTAGGTAGTTGCCTGCTTGGTGTCGCCTCCCCTTCTTTTCTTCTTCCTTGACATTCTAGCAAGAACCCATAGGAGTTATCTTCAGAATACACCTGCCCTGTCTATACTTCTTACACACTCCCAGTCACAACTGACACACTCCCCCTATAGACACACCCTTCTCCTAACTCCCTGGGCCTAACCGACTCTTATGATTTTATTCTTCCCTCCTTCTACCCTGACCCTGGCTCTCGATGAAGGTGGAGAGATGTAAGATGGACCGTGATGAAAACTGGTGAGAAGGACATGCTGGGCTTCCCTAACTGGTTTTTCCTAATACCAATCTGTCACGCAAAGAAGAGGATCTCTTAGCGTCAAGACAAAGTGACTGTTTTAAATGTCCAAGTTAGAGGCTTTTCGGGGCTCATGGAGGTGTCTTATGAAGTGGGGAGGGGTTTTGCCTCAGAGACTTGTACCCTGATGTCAGGAACACCACCAAAAACAAGGTACGTCTGCTCTAATCTCTCACCTTCTCTGACTTCTCAACCATGTTTATTTAAAGAGACGAAAATCATATGTTCCAAGGTTGGTAATAGTTCCCACCCAGTGATGAGATAGGGGCTTATTTTTTGTGCTTCTTTATACTCTTCTGTATTTACAAAATTCTCTACTGTCAGGGTGTATTAATTTGATAACTGGGGTCAGACAGTAGCACAGCAGTAAAATGCGAGCTCTGCAAAGCAATCCCACATGGGAAAGCTTCCAGTTCTAGTCTGGAGACCTCCTTCAGTATGCTGAGCACACACTCCATGATCCAGGGTGGGCGAAAGGCAGCAGCGGGTGGATCACAGTGTTACCTCCCTATTGGGGATGCTGCATGTTGTCTCTCTCTCTCTCATTCTGCCTCTCCTTCTCTTTGCACACACTCCATGATCCAGGGTGGGCGAAAGGCAGCAGCGGGTGGATCACAGTGTTACCTCCCTATTGGGGGTGCTGCATGTTGTCTCTCTCTCTCATTCTGCCTCTACTTCTCTTTGTCTCTTTTGATCATGGAAGAAATAACATAAAGAGATGTAAAAAGTTGATAATTAGGGCCAGCCAGTAGCATGTGGTTAAGGCAGCTGGATCCCATATGACTGATTGAGCTGTTTGAGTCCCAGACTTGGTTTGAAAAACACGTCAGGTGCATGTGCATGATTTCCCAAAATTCCAAGAGGAGAACGGAGGAGAAGAAATTGCAGTGTGGCCATCCCCTCAAGGAGTGATTTTTCTCTCTCTCTCTTTCTTTCTCTCTCTCTCTCTCTTTTTTTTTTCTTTGAGAAAAATATTTTTACTATAGGGCATGTGTTCTTGCTGGAGAGACAGAGCAACAGAAAGTGAGAAATCACCCTCTGGGGGGATGGCCACATCACAATCCCTTCTCTGTTCTCCTCTTGGAATTTTGGGCATGCACGCACATGCACCTGGCGTGAGTGCTGCCAGGTTCAAGATTCAAACTGCAGTCAACTATGTGGGAGTCTAGCAATGTAACCATTATGCCATCTGCTGATCCTGATTTCTCACTTTCTCTCTCTCTCTATCTGCCTCGCTCCCTCCAGCACAAGCGCCCTGTAGCAACAATTAAAAAAAAAAAAAGAAAGAAAAAAAGATAATTAAAAAAAAAACTAAAAATTAAACTTCTCTAGGCTAGGAATTTTTTAATTGGATATATTTGCAATTGAAAAGAATAACACAAGACATTTATGTAACCCAGTACATAAGACTTTGGGATTCTATTGATATATATATTTTTTTTTTTTTGAGAGGTTTTTGGTGTAGGGCGCCTGCC